GAAGCGCTACTTCTCACAACATGCTGGTGTTATTAAGTCCGGACCGCGGACTTTTTAACTTAGAAACCCTTAGGGCACTTGTAGAAAAGTCAAATTTCTCATTCCCACCCCGGACCTAGTACATCAGAAGACGATGATGGGGTCTGGAATAAGCACCTGACATGCGTTTTCTAAGTCTAAGTTCTCTGTGACGTACTGTTGGGCCGTAGTCTCCATCAGAGTGTTCTCTGAACTTGTTCGATTTCACACCTTCATGGGCAAAATCTTTTATCATATGCGTTTTCCCTCTCACTGGAAGCAAACGAGTTGGTGTTGGAATGCAAATAGACTAGATCGGTGTTGCAGATGGTTGAACCGAAGCCTGGATGGTACGGGGGGCGGGGGCGCTGATGCCGAGGCCGGGATGGTACGGGGAGGCCGATGCCAAGAGCCCGGGAGAGCAGACAGAATGACACGTGGGCACATGCGGAGGAACGAGAGTGAGGCTGGCTGCTGGGGGAGCCGCAGGCACGCAGGACAATGGCTGGGGCAGGGCGGAGAGGTAGCTGGGCCGATTCACGGGCGCCTCGCGGGTCACGTAGGAAGTTTAGACTGGCTTCCATGTCCCATGGGAGGCCAGCTGTGTCAGCTGGGATGCCGTCCCATAGGTAAGAGGAAGCCCCACCTAAAGGGCTGAAATAGTAAAGGACTTTTTGGCTTCATTTCTGACATTCTCTTGACTTTGCTTCTTTCTGGGTTCCTGGGCTAATTTCTCTCAAGGTTGCGAGATGGTTCTGGCAGTAACCAGACACGTTTCTCTTTTCACCAGGGCAGGGAGAGTCCGGCTTCCCTAAGCTACTTAACAGGATTCTTCCCCTTCACTGGGCTTGGGTCAGCCCGACCCAGTCACAGTGGCCATTGACTTGTGGTCTCTGCAGTGAGGTTCTTCCTCTGATCGGGATCCCTCCTCCTCGAAGCCAGGGCTGGGGTCAACCCCAAATTGCACAGCTGCTACTTAGTGAGGGCGAAGTGACTCCCACCCCCAAATAACTTGGAAACTATTATGACGAAAGGGGAAGTGGATGCTGGGTAAGTAACCGAGACAACTTATTATGCCATGGGAGGGATTTTAGGGCTCACTAGCTGCGGTGAGGAAGGCAGACTAGGGGAGCCTGAAGGAGGAGGGAGGCCAGTTAGGGGACCATTGCAGCAGCTCGGCCCCGGGACTGATGCGGGTTGGAGACGGGACTGACCGGCCTTAGTAATGGGCTGAGTGGTGGAAGCGGTGCTTGTGGTCAGGCTCTGGGGGTTGGGGTGGGGGTCTCAAATGCCCACCCAGCTTTGGACCTCATCTTCGTTAGCAGTGATGGACGTGTTGGAGTAGCGTTGCCTTTTGTGAGAGTCAGAGATCAATTCATTTTTTTTTCACTTTCTCCTCCTCCTTAAACATTTATTTTTAGTTTTTACAATTTACCACAGCACATTCTTTTGATCTAATGTTTTCCAAATGACGAAAACACCAAAATCACAATCTGTGGTTTTACTAGGTTTTTATTTACTGCTCACCCTGTACCCAAGTCAATTGACTGAGAATATCTTCAAAAAATCTGTTTTTGTGATTTTACAAGCCCCCAAAGAAACAGCTTCCTTTGAATTTGGGAACACTGTGAATTAATACTGTGTTGACTTACTTGAATGTTTTCAGTTTGAATTAACATGCTTACAGGGCCGTTCAGTCTTGCAAATTGTTATCAGCAGGGATTGATCACGCTTGAGCTTTTCAAAATATCAATTATAAGGCATAAGAGTTCAGCTGCAGCTCCTGGTTTAATCCTCCAGCTCTCTATTATCCACAGCTTATTAAAATAGTGGAATTAACCTTCAGGGATGTAGGGTGGCTCTTTTTGCAGACTAGGCAAAACAGTCGCTGCGATTTGATGCCCTTGACGGAGGCGGATGGGTTCGTTAATTCTGCATATAAATTCGGCAAAGTCCTTACATTAAAGAATTCATTCTTGTGGTTGAAAGTTCGCCTCCCTCCTCTCAAGAATTGCTCTCCATTCGTTAAACAAACTCAGACTGGCTTTGTCTCCTCTTAAATTCCCATCTATTACTTTGTCGTGTGTGTGTGTTTTTTTACCCCTTATGGACGAGTCCCCATCTCTCTGATTGTTTTCTCATCCTCTCTTTACTCTTGATGAAATTAAAAAGCTCTGGCTGACACCTCACAACACCGTTTTGAGGGTCAAGTGAGATGACACACAGAAAGGTCGAGGAGATGCTAAACTCCACAGGAAATGCTTTCTTTTGCGGTAGGTGACATCCGTAGCTCTAGCGGTCACCGACAGGGCCTCTCACATTACCCCCTCCTCAGCCTTGGTGGCAGGGCCTTCTCCCGGGACTGAGGGCAAGGCGGGCGGGAAGCGCCTGGGACGCAGACCCTTCAGTCTCGACCATGACCATGGCTGGTGGCGGGTAACCGTCCCCACTTTTGCCCTGGCGGCGGTGAGTGGGCATCTCTGGGCGGCCCGGCTCAGCCCGCAGCCGTGACCGCGTCATGAACACGCCATGCTGCGACCCTCCCACTGCGCCTTCGCTTCCTGTACCGGTGCCGTCTCCTGGGTTCACCTCTCGAATAAGCGACCTGCGCTCGGTCTTACCTTACGGTCCGTTTCTGGTGGGACCGGAAGGGGAGCGGCGTTTGCCACCCCCAAATGTGCTTCTTGGGATACTGATTGTTTTAAGCTGGTTATTTTTTTTAAAAACAAGACTCGGGAAGAAGTTCGGACTTTCCCCCTAACTACCTAAAAGAATTTGGAATAAGACCCGCTCCAGAAGGGAGCTATATCGTCATAGGTAATGTTTTTATTTTATTATTACTTTTTATCTCTATTGTCAAACGATCTTTAACTGAAATATTCTCCTTCGTAGGTAACGGGCTGGGCGCTCCACCGCAGCAGTGCTGATGTCACCTATGACGTCACAAGGGTGGCGGCTGTCAGGTCCGCAGATCCCTTTAATGGTCCCGGAGCTCCATAGCTGCGTCTGTTGGGAAATGTTGAGTCTCATCAGAAGCGGCGTTTCCACGGCGCTCAGGGCTTTTTGCTTTCTCTCTGGCCCCGGGCGCTGCTTCGCGGGCCCCGATGATGATCAGGGCGGAGGCACCAGGCACAGTCTGGGCCTGTCTGTTCCGAGTGGTCAGTTCGCTGTGATCCGGTCACCGGTTGCTTTGGCGATGTCATCACCAACCTTTTCTGGAGACGGGCCCAGGGGCTGACCTTGGGGGCCGGGGCCGACGTGGCACCGATTTCCCCACGGGCGCACCTCAGCTGTAGAACTCCGATCTCCTTGGGGCCGAACTTCGGTGGCATGGTGGAGGCAGCCGGCGTCGGATGCACCTGGATTCGGGGCGACTGAAGAAAGCAGCACCCTGTCCTTGAGTAGAAAGCTGAAAAGGGTAACTACGGTGCAATATGGACCAGGGGTGATGGGCAGGGAGGAACCGACAAGGCCGTCTGATCTAAGGTTTGTGTCCCATTGTTAAAGTCGGCCCAGCAAACACTTGTTTTCCAGACATTTGCTTTTCCGTCTCCACGTGACTTGCCTTCCTCCCCTTTGAAGTCCCCAACCACAACCCTCCTTCTCCTTAGCTGAACATGGGTAACAAGCCTTAACTGCCTGGTATGTCCTTGAGCCCCACATTCTTGTGGAACCCCCGTACATATATACGTAATTACATTCGGTTATTTTCTCCTGTGACTGTCTTTTGTCATTTTAATGGTGTGAACAGCCAGAAGAACTAAGGGGAAGGGGGAAATTTCCCCTGCCCCACAAATTCGCCCTAAGACCCTACACCGATGGCCCTTCTGAAAGCACAGCTCCCCAGGGACACCCCGGAATTCTCCGGCCTTACCGCCCAGCCTGCTCCCAAGAGGGCCTGAATCTATCTGTTCTGCCTCCTGACGCCTGGGGCTTCGCGTATTTACTGGTAGCTCGAGGTGGGTTCCTTGCGATCCTGGCCACACCTACCGTCCCCGAGACGGTGGCCCTTCTAGCAAATGCCTCTGCAAGCAAAATGCTCTCCCTCCTCAGTACTTCGGTGTGTGTGGTGGACAAAGACGTCTCCTCAGCCCACTGCCATCGCCAAACCCGGAGTTAACGCCAGGACCGAACCTGCACCACGGACCCGACTCGAATTCTGCCCGTTGTCCCTCGTATCTTCCCCGGCCCAGGACCTGGCCAGGAGTGCGCACTGTGATGTCTCATCTTCCTTAGTCTGGGACAGCATTTCCGTCTTTGTTTTTCATGACCTTGGTTTTTGAAGAATAAAGGCCGGTTATTTTGTCAACTGTCCCTCAACGTGGCTTTCTGTTTCTTCGTTATATTCACATTATACATTTTTGGGAGGAACCCTTAAAAGCGAACCCTTATCCTCCTCACTGCAGCTTATCAGGAGGCGTACAATATTTGTCTTAAAAAGGCATTTTCATGAGAAGTAGGGAAAACTGAAAACATGGTATTAAGTTACTGTTAATTTTGTTAGATGTCACAATAGTTTTATGGCTTTGTTTTTTCAAAAATGGTACACGTCTTAGCTGTGCATATTTACGGCAGTGTTAAGTGAAGTGATTTGGCTTCACACCGTTTCTAGGGAGTTTGGGAACTCTGGGCAGAAAGCAGTAATGAGGACACCACTGTCAGAACTTGGTTATTCTGAAACAGTGTCCATTTGTGCATCATCTGGATCCTTGATCATTCTTCCTTTCCTCTGAGGCTCCTTTTGTTGACCAGATCGACAGCTTCCCCGGGGTAGTGCACGAAGCACACATCCGTCAGGCTCTGTGACTTACTGGCTGAAGCAAGCCTGGGGAAGAGACTGAAACCACTGGCTGAAATTTGATTTATAAATAATGTGAACATGTCATTTCTTTGTGATTTGCATGTCCTTATTACAGATATTTATGAGTCTACTGAAATGAGATCATTTATGACGATTAGGTAATAAAATTTTAGAGCCAAAATAACAAAAAGTCCTCATTTTATTTTTATATTTTATTTTTTGGGAAAAAAGTTTTTTTTAAGTTTATTTCACCAAGGACTAATCCTTTGCTGACGTCCACGTTTAAGTTGTGCTTTTATGTTTGTCTCACAGGAGAAACACGAAAAGCTGCTCGCGCGGCGGCTCCCTCTAGCCCTCCAGGCACTGGTGCCGGAGCACCTGGTTCAGGATGCTGCTTCGTTTCAAAGCGCGCAGTTTCGACGTGTCTTCACTGACGACGGTCACATTTCCACTGTGCTCCTGCGCCGTCAGGTCACTCTCACTGTCGGACAGCGTGCACAGCAGAGAGTCGTTCTCGTAGGTTGGGAAATAATACCTGAAACCACCGCAGGTATATTGAATAACCAAATTATAAATTATACAGAATATGTCTAGGCAGCTGAATGTACATATTACTATAATTTTGCTAGGTTTCCTTGCCAACAATTTCAATAGCATCTTGCAAAGGCTGTAAGGGAGCCAACTCTGGATGACTTTCACTTTGACCTTCGCTGGCTAACTTCCATCTGACTAGTACCCTTGCTAGTTGGCCATTCAGCCTTTGCTTGACATCCACCAGAATAAGGAACTCGCTGTCTTAAAAGGCAGCCCACTCCAGCGTGGGACAGCACTAATACCTCCTCATATGACACTAAAAACGACATCCTTTTCAGTTCTACTCAAAGGTCCTAGCTCTTCCCTGGAGGTTAACGGAAGTTCAAATACAGTTACTTTTCCATATACGAATCCTTTAAATATCTGATGAAAACAGCTGTTTCCCCTTGTGTTTTCCTGCCTAACCTGATCGTTACTGGTTCCATCCATCTAGGTGATCAAAAAATAAAACACATGCACCGTTTTACGTTCATTATCCTGGTTGCTGGACCCACTTTGTTGTTTGCTCTGGGGACCTCTAAGGATTTCAACCTACGTAAGAAGAATTTTAGGAACAAGGTACAAGTCAATCCAGGGTCGACTATCCTCCCATGAATCTGTGATCTGTGGAAAAACTAAAGCCTTTTGTATTAAAGGGGAAAAAATAGAGCTTTTTGGTTAAAGGTTATTTTTTTTTGGGGGGGGGCGGGGAGGGCCTGATTTAACGTTCCCTGAGAATAGAGGAACCTCCGAGCAGCTAGAACCCCAGAGCCTCTCAGAGGTCACCTCAGCTGAGGATATCCAGAGCGATGTGAGAACTGGCCCAGGAGGCTGGACTGGCAAAGGACAGACACCTGGGAGTCTGACAGTACCTGAGCAGGTACGCGTCAGCAGACCAACTGCTTAATGTTTTTAATGTGCTGACATGCCAAATATATACCAAAAGTCCTAGTCATTGCATACTCTTTAAAAGAGTAAATTCTACTTTATCTAAATGAAATAATGAGATAAGTGTATAAAAATATGCAGGCATATGGATTTTCATGGTATCACTATAAGTGAAAAGAATGGGTATTTGGCACCCATTAAAAAGATGCAGCAGGGGAAGTGGATAAGGGTCAAAGGGGTCAAATATTTGGTGAGGGAAGGAAATCTAACTTTGGGTGGTGAGCACAGTGCGATATATATGTGACATATTGTTAAACTGTACCCTTGAAACATTTGATTTTATTAATCAATGTCACCCCCAATAATTTTAATTAAAAAAATAAAAAATAAATACGAGAGCAGATAAACTGGGAAAATATTTACAAAGCATGTTTCTGGCAAAAGACTTATTTCTAGGATACATTAAAAAAAGTTTCCAACTCAATCATAAGAAATGAATCAAATTTAAAAATGTGCAAAAATTTTGGGCACTTTACCGAGGAAGAGATCTAGATGGAAATAAGCACATGAGAAGTTGCTTAACATCATCAGTCGTCAGGGAAATGCACATTAAAACTACGATCAGTTACCACCAGAAACGAGTAAAATTTAAAGAATCGACCACACCAAGTGCTGGCGAAGACGTGGAGCAACAGGAACGCTCTACACTGCTGGCGCGAATGTGAATGTTACAACCGCTTTGCAAAACTGGTTATTTCTTAAAAAGTTGAACATACGCCTTACATACGACTCGGCCATCCCCTCCTTGAGGTTTGCTTAAAATAAAGGGAAGCCTACGCCACTCAAAGAAGGCGGCTCAGCAACGCTTGGCGGTGACGGCACAGTCCTCGTCCTGACTGTGGCGATGGCTTCATGGGCGTTTGTACCTGTCGGAACTCACTGACCCGCACACTGAGTGAGGACGACCAACTGTCTATTACATTTCGATAAAGCTGTAAAAATAAGAAAAAGCTGACGCAACAGATGTGTAACAGCTATGAAAAGATGCTTACCATGTTTTGTTAACAAAATATAATTAAAAAATCTATAATTCTGTATCTATTTACATATATATCTAAACGGTTACATTTGTGAAAGGGGACTGCTGTAAAAATAAGGTTTCTGAAGATGTTTTGCTTTGACACGCGTATCTTTTTCATATAAGTTTAAATCAATTAAATAAAGTTATGAAACAATGGAGACGGAGCAATACTCACTCCGGTTGATCCCATGTCTTCATTTCAGGAAGCAGCGATGTGTGTTTAGCTTCTTCCATGTGAGTCCTCAGGTCTGCTTTGGACTTGAACTTCACATGGCAGCCATAACATCTACACTGGTGAATCTGCCTCCGAATGAAATTGACCAGTTTCACTTGCTGATAGAAATTTAATCCTGAAAAATGAAAGTATACAGACTCATCCGACGACCGGTCAGACACATTTTTGCGCTCTCATAATGTTTTCAAAGAGCCACTTCTCTTTAATCAACGTGAAGAGGCAGAGCAGTTATAAAGCATGATAACAGATACCAAACAGTAACCGTCAGCAGTTAGGGCTCGTGTGCTAGTTTTAATGCCCTAAATATTTCTGTCACGGAGCTACTGAGCATGATGCGATTGCGCACGTCTGTAAGAAGTAACCTGGCTGTACCCCCAAGCAGTCGGCGGGGTTCCACACACACTCTCCACTCCCTACAGCGTTCTGTTCACCCAGGCCCAGCGTCACCCCGTCGGTAAGTGCGAGAGCTGGAATATGAACCCGTCTGACATTGACATCCATGCTCTTTCCATGAACCCCTTTCTGGCAGATATTAACCGTTAACGAGTATTGTATTTGAAGCGTTCATATTTGCGGGAAAGAGGAAAAAAGGCTACATGAAGTCAAAGACCATATTTGAACATTACAGTCCAAAATGGTTGTGACCCGCTGGCCGGTGAGACTGGTGCGGGGAGACGCGCGTCGCTGTGCACGGTCGGGTCATGGTCGGGTCCCGGCCGAGAACGCAGCGCTGCTTCCAGGACAGCGGACAGCAGTGGACGCCACGGGGAACGGCTCCCCAGTCAAACTCACCCAGTTCTGACTTTATTTTGAGGAGATCGAATTCGTGAGCATCCTGGAAGGAGGAAAGGATACAGCTGTGAGCACACACGCGTTTAACCTTCCGGGCTGCGGTCACGACAGCTCATTACTCACTGTGGGAAATCGGTCTCATTCATCATCTTCTGCTTTTGAAGTCTTGGAAATCTACTACTTCCCACCACACCCAAACGCGTCGAGTCGGTCAGTCACAACACTTTAAGTGTCCACAGCTCCAGGTTTCACAATTCACTAGGTACGCACTCTGCGGCCTGACAAGTGTCCCCGGCCTCCAGGTCACATGCGGCCCTGCTGGACTGTGTCTGGACTAGGATCAGGCATGTCGGTTCTCTGCTCCATGAGCAGGTGAATAGTTTCACAATTTCTGCTCTTCATTTCATGCTGTCAAATATGCTGTTGGAGCCCGCAAGTTTCCTTCCACTCACATCTTCCCATAAATTACAGTAAAAAGAATTTTGCAGCGCAGAGGCTATTCTGTCCCTTCCCTGCGACTGCGCACCTGGGTAAATGATTTAACTTACGAGCTCGCACTGTGGAGGCCGGTGTAATTGCACAGGCGGCACAATTAGGAACCGCACGACGTGTGTCACTGACCATGCCTGGGCAGAGGGTGAGGACGCCGCTGCAGAGGGAGCCCCGCCATGGGGGCGGGGGTGGGGGGACTTGTTTCCACTCAAAGACATGAGGATATTGTGACCCGAACGCAGACACTGAAACCACACACGTACCGGTGGCAGCTGATTCAGAGAAAGCGACCCTCTGCTTTCAAAGGGGTGAACGCTACGCTTTCTGATTCCTCGCTGTCCGTTACTGCACAGGACCAGCGTTTCTAATGAAGGGGACGGGGCCTGAGGCAGGGGGACCGCCCGTGCTGGCAGAGGGGGGTACGCCAGCACCTGGTGGTGTTTTTCTATCACCGTCGGCCCTCTGTCCCCAAGCCGTGGTACTGTGTCACCTCTCAGATGTTCTGGCATGAATAGCTGGATCACGACTAGTCTCAAGTTTCGCTGTAACATAAAAGTGGCGTCCAGAGGAAACGCACTCGCCAGGAATTCCCTCCTATGCCTTCTCTCCTGTGTCACGGGATGGAGCTGCAGCGAGGTCGCACGCGGTGCCCTCCCCGCCTCCGAGTCCCTAGCAGCCCCCAAGGGCCCCGTGGATGACAGCAGTCTCCCTGCTCATTCACCAGTGCTGGGAGCCCTGGAGGAAGACGCAGGACCTGCCCCTGTGCTGGGCACTGCTCGCCGTGGCTGCAGATCCCGCGTCCTAAGCTAGAATGATCTCGGAGCATCTCGGAGGCGGGAGGGCACTGGTGCTCTCTGAAAGCCCACAGACACAGCTCGCCTGGGCCAGGCACCGCTTCTGGGTGGCCCTGAGTTCTGGCTCTCCAGGTGGACGTGGCCTGTCTCCTGTTTGGCTCAGAGCACTTTCAGGAATGGGATGATGACTGAGAACCCAGAGGCACTATCTGATGAGGCTGCAATAATTATGAGCTTTCCCCGTGAGAACTGAACAAAATCCCACCGAGTGCAAGCACCTCACCTCCATGTGGACACGTAATTTCTCGATCGTTTCCGCTTGCTTTTCACAGAACAGGCAGACAGCAGAGACGGGGTGCTCCTTCCAGTCAGACCAGTCTCTGTGGTGAGAAGAAAACACACACGTGGAGACGCCCCTCATTCAGAAGGCGTACCCCACAGCGACTTTCTCCTCCCGAGGAGACCCTGCCCCTCTCCTGCAACTCTGACATTTTGGTGAAGACCGTCACATCGTACGTACGGTGACTTTTTGGTGCGGCCTCTGAAATTCAAAGCAGGCTGTGAAATTCACAGAAGCCGTGAGCAGGTGCTGCTGTCCCCTGACGCCCGCCTCCCTTCTGAGCAGCGATTTCCCTAGAGAACCGGCCCCGCCTTTCTGAGACAACTGGGTTTGCTCTGCGAAGCAGACGCATCAGGAGGTGGGTGCGCGCGCATTGACCGTGACCGCTAAGTGCACGCGCTGTGAGCTGTGACGCTGGAAGCGTGTTTCCGCGTGACAAACGGTGTTTTAAAAAGGCAGACTGAGTCCCTTTCATGTGGGAAATACCGACCATTTTAAGTGGGGCGGGGTTAAATCCGGTGTTTGGTAGGTGGACAACTCAAAAAGCAGACAGGACCCTCCCCCGCCCTTTTTAAACGAGGAAAATCAAAATCCCAAGAGAGAAAAAGGCCAAACAGTGCTGAATGAAAACAGGATGAACACGGGGACGCTTGTAGGTTGGAAAGAACCCTCTCGGCTTGTGACTGCGAGCGAAGCTGGGCATGCTTTGTGTTAGCCACCCGTGGGGTGAGGACGGCACAGGCTTAACTGCAGGCCTGTCCCCTCTGCGCCACGGACAGGCGCGTGGAGCCCAAAGATCACTCGCTTCAAGATCTGGGGACCAGCCGAGTCAGGGAAGCACTTTGGGACGTATTTTTCTCTGAATGACCTGTTCCTTGTGTGTTCGCTTAATAGTTTTCATGGCAAAACATTATTTAGTTGGAATAACAGTTGCTTCAAGTGACTTTTATGTCAAAGTTATTTTGGATTTGAGTTTTCGCTGCATTACATGAACACATACATGGCTTACAGACGTTTTCTTTCTTTCATTCTGTCTTTTCAGAAGAACAATTTAAAATCAAACTGTTTTTAAACCGAAAAGTTTTTGTAAGATGATTAAAGAACTGTTTTCCTGCTCTTAAAATACTGCAATTAACTAGTGGCAGTAAGGAGTCTTACTCTTCCTGAGGGCCCAGCAGCTCCCGATCATCTTCAGACTGAACTTCTTCCCACGATTTCCCAAGTTCCTGTGGAGGAAGGACAGGGGGACAGGGGACGGGGGATATGGGAGGAGGGGAGCGGGAAGGAGGGAGGGAGAGACACAGAACTTAAAAGACAACACAAAAGCCACGCTCAGTCAGCTTTCAAACAACACAAGTAGAATACATTAAGACTGTTACTTGGGGGAAAAGGAAGGATACGCGTATCCTAAAACGCTTTCACTATTTTTTCTTTTGAAAGGCAGCAATATCCTTTCAAACAAACGCTTTTCCCTGAAATGTAAATCAGGGTTTCTCAACCCCGGATGCACATAAGAATCTCTTGGGGATCTTTTTAAGATAAACCACCAATATCTGGTGGCGGAGACCCTGGAACACTCTGCTGGCTGGTCTGTTTCTCCTGAGGGCCCTACAGTCTGTCTCCCTGAGAGCAGCCAGTGACCTCCGGAAGGGCCACTTCTCTGGCAGTGTGGCCCTTCCCACGGCTTCTCCCACGCCAGTCCTCGCCCTGGCTCCCTCTCTACCGCTTCTCTTCCTGCTCAGGTTGCGTCCCCAGACCGGTCCTTTGTTGCCCCCCAAACACAGCGAGCTCGCTCCCTCCCAGCCACCCCGCCCTCGCCACACCCTCTGCCTGACACACTGCTCCCTCACACACCTGCGAGGCTCAGCCCGTCTGGACCCTGCCTGAAAGTCACCACCTCAGTCCTTTTTAGATGACTGTGTCCCAAATAACACCTGTCTTCCAAGCCACTTTCTATTCCTCTCTATTGTTTTATTTTCCTCCAAAGCATCAAGTGCTTGCTCCCTGACATCATTTTGCCTATCAGTCTGCCTTATTATTTGCCATTTGTCTCCACTAGAATGTCCACGAGGACGTGGCCTTTGTTCATCGTCACATTTCCAGAGCCAGGCACACAGTGGGCACTAGAAAGTACTTTTTTGAACTGAATTATAACAGAACAAGTCTAAAAATTTGACGCCGATTTAGATTCTATCTCAAAGGTTTTTGTGAGCTGATTAGATGAGTTCATTAATGCATATAAAACACATGGTACCAGCAAATCGTGAAGGACTTGAGTCTCTACTTTGGCTCTTAGAGGTGATGGGGAAGGTCGACCCTCTGTCTGGCAAGCTTGGTCACAGTTGCAGGAAAACTTCGTGGAGTACTAGGCAGGAATGGCTTCTTCTGGCCCAACCATTTCTTTCTCCCATGAGCCACTAGTTCCCCTCTCCCCGCCGTGGGGAGCCTGTATGAAGCGGCCGTGAGCGAGTCTGCGGGCGTGCGGCCCCATCGCCGCGTGTGTCTGCGACAGGACGGTCGGGACGCTAGCCCTGCCCACGCCATCGCAGGAGCTGACACGAAGGCTGCAAAAGCAGACACAGCTCTGAAGAGGGATGGAAGGACACTAATGAACACTTTTTCAAGCAGCTAAACTCTGGCTACAGTCAAGCCCAACGTGACTGCTACAAACACAGGTGTCTTTGTTTGATATCCTTCTTTTGAAAGAAACAACCAAAATTGAATATTTTCATTTCTCAAAAAAAAAAAAAGTTTCCATTTAACTAAAAACAAAGAACTAAAAGTGCCGTTATGATTTAGGGGAAGAAAGGAAATCGTCCATTCATCAGCTCGAGGAGAGATGCTGGAGCATGTGGCACAGACGCCGACGTGCAGAGAGCTCCCAACGGCCTCAGAGGCAGTGGGTTTAGACGCTGCGGGGTACCTCCCAGAGTCGTCACCAAGTGTCTGGACCTCCTTACGGGTGCCAAGCGTGGCCTCAACACTGCCCACAGGGTCCTCATCGGCGGGATGTTTGTGATGAACGAAAGCGCAGCATCGCCTGCTTTCTCTGGACGTGGGCGGCCAGATGTCACTTAAGGGCGGGCCATCTGCAGTATCGCCCTTCTCAACGGCCTGGGCAAACGTTGCTTATCAAAGATGTTTTGAGCCCAATGCAACAAAAATATCTTTCATTGTCAAGCTTCCAAACTCAAAGTTTTATATTGCAAGTTTCTCAGTATTCAGTACTAGATGCATCTAGTACTAGGCAAATGGCTAGATATGTCGCACTAACCATTTGCCACTTGATGACAGGAAAATGAACTCCGTTTGTTAGTAGATTAAGGAACAAGACACTTGCATGGGGCAGTGGCCCAGACTCTCCTAGAATGTTTTGCTTTGATACAGTTAAATATATGATTTATTACAGGAACAAGACCCAAAGAGAAAAAGAAATTAAGCACATAACTCTCTAATTAAGACACTGCGCCTGCTAATGAATCATGTCAGGAAAGCAAAGAATACAAGAAAAACAAAGTTTGGAAGGCACGTCAGAAAAGATGTTCAGAACGCCCCCGCAACCCCTGCATCAGATGGCTCGTGATCAACGAGGGTGGGAAAGAACGCGGGGGAGAGCTTCCGCCCAGCGACGCTGCGCCCCCGCCCCCAGACGCACGCACATATGCGCCCGCTCCGAAGCCCACTGGAGACGGGGAGGTGTTTAAATGTAAATCGCTTCATTACAGAGAGCTAGAACTGGACTGTGAAAAATAGGTTACGAGCCTACTTTTGTTACAAATGGCTTTGTATTTTAAGAATAAAAAAATAAATCAGAGGATAATAAAACCACTGCAAAAATAGTTCCCTTTAGAAAAACTCAGGGCTTGAAATGTGAGCGTCTTAGGAATGTGCAGCCAAAGGCTCGATGATGACATGGGGGTGGCCTGCTGCTCCCCAAGGCAGGGGTATCTGAACGAAGCTGCTGGGGACCCTGCCCCCTAACCATCACCGCCGTCCGCTGGACCCTTTTCTTTGGGGGAAAACAAAGCGGAACTCAAAGTGGGCCGCCTGGTGCGAAGGGCCTTTAATGAACCTGAAGTCTGTTATTACCCAAAACCTGTGTAAAACAGGGAAATCCTGACCCAAGGAGGAAAAAGCACTCCGTCAGTTTGCCGAGCTCAGAGGAGAGCCCAAACCAGCCTTTCCGTCCCTTGGCTCTCCCACGTTTGATGATTATTGGGGTGCATCTTGCCAGGAGCACCCTGGGGCTTCCGTCACTGCTGGTCTGGAGAGCCTGTCTGAAGCGGCCGTGAGCGAGTCTGCGGGTGTGCGGCCCCATCGCCACGCGTGTCTGTGACAGGACGGTAGGGACTCTAGCCCTGCCCACGCCATCGCAGGGGCTGACACGAAGGCTGCCTGCGTGCCTGTCCCCCAGCAACCTGTGAGCGCCGCCGCCTCGTCTGCAGCCTTTTCCTTCTGCTCCACTAGGGCCTGGTGCCCGGCAGCACCGGATGCGCAGAATGTGTGAAGCCGCTTCTGACGCGGAGGGGCAGTGGGGCGTGGGTTCCGGACACCGACCGCTGGCCACAACTGTCCCGCCTTGGTGCCCATTCACGCACCTATGCCAGCCTCTCCCTAAGAGGAACACGTGTGAATGTCTCTCATCCCCCCCACCCCTTTTAAAACTAATGTCATTATTCACTGCTTAAACACATTTTTAGAATTTATTTTTCATGTGAACATTTTCCATTAATGGGGTATCAAGGACTGCTCAGAAACCTTGGCCCTCATGGCGACTCCGTACTGTCCGTATCTGAAACAGTCTTCGTTCTGTGTCTCACTACACCTTTTATTTACAGTGGTCCTAGGCTGACCCCTCTGGTAGGCCTGCCGCTAATGTAGGGCACGTGCGCATCTTTAGAGATGCTGCTGGCTTCTTCAAGTCTTCCCAAAGGCAAGCTGACATCCTGTCCGGAATGCTCGAGCATTTAGGTTTACAACAATTCATTCCCACTGTCGGCTACTTCGTGCAGCGGAAAAGCACCGGGTGACGAAGGCAAAGGCCGCGGGTCGGAGCCCCCGACGGCTGACTAGGAGGTCAGCCTCCCTCTGACCTCGGCCTCCCTCTGACCTCGGTTCCCAGCCGAGCTTCTCACGAAAGAGAACAGGCAAGGAGGGCGAACAGGCCATTAGGAATTCACCTCCCTTACTTGACCAAAACCCAACCCAAAGAGTAAGAGGGAGCGCAGGTGTTTTTTGTTTTGTTTAATTTAAGTCCAACTGATGACACTGCCGAGAAGCAAGACCTCAGGTGCTGCGCGTGGGCACCGGCGTCACTTCGAGTGTAAAGAGGGGAGGCCACCAATGCCCAGAGAGCTTAAGAAACGTGCTCTCGCTACGCCACCCTGGGAGCCCCGTCCCTGGGGATGCGGCCTGTGTCACAGAACGTGCTTCAGGTCAGACGAGTGTGGATACCCGGCAGCGCCCGGCGCGTCGCGATGCCGCGGATGCGCCAGGGAGAACAGCACGGCGAGCGCTGTTACCCACGTGACGCCACGTTCGTTTCCTGTGGTCCTTGGCGCCGTCGCCGTTCCCGAAGCGCTGCTCTCAGGCTGTGACTCGCACGTCGGGCCTGTGCTCTGTGGGCGGCCTACCCCAGCGCGCTCCTCTGCAGACAGCGGGCCCCTGCAGACGGCTTTGCTTTCGTCGGTCACACGACACGACGCCCAGGGAAGGAAGTATCATGCTTTTCTACTAGGGCGGCGGAATCTGCGTGAGCAGCCCCTGTGAGGTCCCCTCTGCGGGATAAACGCCTCCAGCCATACAACGTTCCGTTGTCCCGAGCTCCTTAACGTCAGGTGAAGAGAGCCCCAGAAGGAAGCACTATTAAATCGCTTCCATAGCTCAGTGTGCTGGCTCAATCCTTAGCGCTGACGCGGATGCCCGTCCCCCACTGCACTGGGCTGGGCCCAGAAGCGGCGCTCGCTCTCAGGATGATGGAGGGATCTGAGGAGGAGACGGAGGGCTCGAGGGCTGCCTGTGCCTTTAGCTGGCTGTAAAACACCTGTAGCGGAGTCACTCTTCAAACACATGCTAAACTTGCTTCAAGGGGGATTTTATTTGAATACCGTCGGGATTAGTTAGAACAGACAAAAATTCCACCCTAGAGCAGAGATTTCCAACATAATTCAGAATCTGCTAGTTTCTGTCCAACAGATAAAACGGCTGATTATAATTATGCCCCCTGTGGCTGGTGGATTTGAATTCCAATTCTTTCACAGTGAGGAAAAAAAACCAATTTCCGTTTGCTTTAGACAAGTGTCAGAAACAGAACTCAACATCTTCCTTCTAGTCCCATGGGAGAGTTACTTAGCCCCTCTCTGTAACTAGAGTTCCTGCCTCTGTGATCTACACCTAAGAAATCAGCAGGTTGGGGCGGGGCCCGTAGTTAGGGTGCCAACCATAACCCCCTCTTGAATTTCCAAATGCCCCCCTAGCGACCCACCTGAACACCCTTTCTTAACCAAGAGGCACCGTGCTCTATAGAGGCCAGCAAGGGGAGCTGAGGATTCCAAGTGAGGGGATCGCCCAGTGTACTGGGAACCTTAACACGGTGACCCCGTTCATCGGTCCTGCAAGCCAAACGCACGAAAGTGCTTTGCCTAGTGAAATGATTCGCTTTCTCTCACATTTCCGTTAAAAATGAGCTGGCCCGAGAGAACTGTGCATGTGTAAGGGGAGGGTTTTTCAATGGGGAGAGAGGGAAAGACCCGAGAGATTTTCTCTCTTCCGAATTGTCTGGCACAGCATCTAGCACAGCCAGAGGCCAACAGAAGTTTTCTGAATGGAACACACAAGTCTCTGGCCACAGGGTGACAGATAATACAATAAATAGGGGACACTGTGTGGATATACAAGTGCTTTATGTTTATTTTTTTTTTGGTCAAGATCACTATGAATTCTAGAGACAGGATATTTCTACTATACAAACAACTGGCAGAGCAAGACAAATCAAATCAAGTTATGCTTTGTAAATGCACCATTTTAAGGCTAATCACGGCCTCAAGTGTCCCTCAGTTACATTTCAACCTTTGCAGTAAGAGCTTGTTTAACTATTAGATGGCCCTCAGAAAGACTCTTGTTTGAGGAAATGCAATCAAGTTTTAAATTATGAAGAGAAAGACTTACCAAATAATTGATGACATAAAACCGGTCGTATTCTCTGTTCTTCGGGTTGATCTTACGATGCTGCTTTTTCCTCATGTGATCTCTGAGCGTGCTTTTGTCCCGGAAGATCTTCTCACAGTACAGGCACTGCAAGCTGAGGGGAACAGACAGACGCTGACAGATGAGTCACGGCGCCTGACCAGCTGCTGCAGCTGCGCTTTACTACGATCAAGCCATCTCTCTTCATTTTGGGTCACAGGGAACCGTCACATAGGACGTGACGTCCTTGCCACAACCGCTCTCTCTTCATTCACCTGGCTCTGTAGGATGCACGCCGTGGTTTATTTTCAAGTTGTCTCAGTTGGCTATTTAGTTAAAACTGTGACAACGACAGCTAACATCCAAAACTTATTTTAGGGGCTTACTAATTTAATTACTTATCCTAAAAATGAAAACGTAGGTATGTTCTTCAAATAATTGAGTTGCTTAACTGGCACTGGCTGCCTCCACCGAGTAGAACAATTAGTTCTACTAATTGTTTGTGTGTCCTGTGAGCTGATGTGCAGGGTTTGAGTCCTAGTTCCCGTACCTGCCAGTTACTTACTCTCTGTTGCCGTCCATTTTCTGAACTCTAAAGATACTTCAGTTTAGAGAATTTTTATGATAACTTGTACATATTTATACATACGTAATTTAAACATGGATAATTTACACACACGTAGGAACAAAAGTGTACATATGCATCACTTATACACACACACACCATACTCATCGGTAGTTACTACTGTCATTCTCACGTGTCTTCCGCTTGAATATTTCACTGGCTGGGAACACATTACCTGAGGAGTCGGGGATCCCCAGGCTCAGAGAGATTCCTGACAAAATGCCTTTCTCATGCTAGACCGACAGCTGGTGCCCTGTCACCTTACCCGACAGCCACTAGACCTCTGCTTTCTGGAGTCGCACAGAGTACGTCTCATCTTCCTTCTTCCCGAAAACGACCAAACGACTGAACTCAGTTGTTTCAATTTTGAATTATGTTTTCATCTCTACTGAACCCCTTTCAACTATTTTGTATGCCACAGAAATAACTACATTCTTTTACAGTAAACAATCTATGAGTGATACGCTGATTAGGGATATTCTGGTATCATTTTATAAATGAAAGGTCATTCAATAAGAGGAGGGGACTTGTTTTAACGTAGTGTTGACACTGGAATTTAAATTTGGAACTTTTTATAGTCGATCTCTATCCCCTGATACTTCTTTTTTAACGTTATTGCCCCGCATGTTGTGGGCTGGGACACCACACTACTTTAGTATTATGTTTAAACAAAGCTACGCTGTGAGAGATAAAATCTTGAATCCTTCCCTAGAAAGTGGAAAGAGTTTTGAAAGCCATTTTGGTAACCTAGAGAATTTCCTTCCTCATTTCCCCGAGCTAAGCTCTAGATGCCCCAGGTTGCCGGAATATGACCTTGGAAAAGTGGAGGGCTAGGATATACGCACGTGGATAAACTCTAAAAGGCAGGAGAATGCACAGAGCACGGCAGGTCGCACAGAAAGCTGCATAACATAGCATGATCTGACAGTGTATGTACTGTACTAAATATGTAGGAAATTACAGTGAAAAGTAAAGGGATTATAAATCCGAAACTACGATGAGTGGTTTCTGGGGACTCACTGATGAGGAAGGGGACAGAGGAAGAGCCCACGGGGTGACCGATGGTCGAGCTCTTAGGCTGAACAGTGGGCACGATCTTCACACCGTATGTAACGCATCTATTCTGGTATGCGCGGTGTTTGGCATACGCGGCATTTTTATTAAAGCACTAAAAGACAAATGATCTACACGAAGCGAGGGCTGTCATATAAAACGCGAAGCCCTCCAACACGAGAACGGGAAAAGTCCATTCTTTCTTTAATTACTTCTGGCCATCAAATTAATTTTTAAAAATTCACATCAGAGTCCAGGATTAATAGCTTCAGGTTGTGTTTCATAAAATAGTACTTACTTATCAAGCTTTTTCTGTAATATACACAGAAATTCACTGCAGTTCACAATGTTGTCTGGCAGTCCAATATTGAAAGCATGTTCTCTGGCCATGTGGTTCAAAAGGATGGATCTAGGAAGAAATGCCAGTAGTTAGATTACTTATAGATCATCTAGGAACAAGTCAGGTCAGCAAGAGCGTTTGTAAATGATGAACAACACTAATCAGAAGTATGAGCGAGCGCAAAACAGTGGAACGCACATCTGGGCTAAGAAGAGCGACACGTCACGACGTACGTAAGTACACGCGTAATCACATCAGTTCTCCAAGGGGGTTCCGAGTTTTCACCCGCCACCAGACAGGATTACGCTCTGCAGGT